TGATTATGATCAAAGTCAGTTGTCAGTTTTCTTTTCTCAAGTAAAAATCTATGTTTTTCAGATTGAATTGAGTAATCTGTAACACCAGAATAACATAGAGGTAGAACAAATTAAGTTTTCACTAGAATTGGAACAAATATAAAGGATGTTTACAATATTTCTGTGGATTATCGATGGTAACATGGACACCCTGATGGGATTTAAAATACTATAATTACTACAAACTAATTTAAATCTGTTTCTGTTCATTTAGGTTACATCAAAGAGGTTAGTTAGGAAAGGTGGTGTCTATATTTTTTCTGTTGAACCAAGTCTTTAAACAAAACAATATGTATACATGTTTTAATATTATATAATGCTATTCATAAAATCTGAATAAGATTCAAGGTTGCCTGTAAATCTACTGTGAGAATAAGTATTCAGATCCTCAACTTAAATTCAAGTGGAAATTATATGGTTTTAAAATACTCAGTTACCAATAAAAGTCCTGAATTCAAAATGTTAAGTATGTAAAAGTACAAACGAAAACGTAAGCCCGATGGCCAATACCAGAACAAGTATAGAATATAGAAATTATATAAACTATTGAACTATTATCAGCTAAAAGTACATGTAGGCAGAATGGCTCTTTTCACAGAATTATATTATTATCGTTATTATATTGTTTTTTTTATCATTACAAATATCTTGCATTTTAATGTTGTAGTTTGTGAATGTGGAGCCAATTGTAGATACTGTCTAAAATACTAGGTTCATAAGTTTGAACATACTTCATCATATCATATAGTATTTTTGTATAGTATAGGGTTTTTATATGTAAAAAGTACACATTTGTATTTGTTTGTTTTTACAGGCTATACCAAATACTGTACGGGAAATAAAGTCTGCACAAAAACATTACTCACTAATAATTGGGGAAAAAAGCCACTAGAGGGCACTAAAGGCTCATGAAGTCCACGATGAATGAAGCTCGGCAGCACCAGATGCTTTACAGACAAAGGCCATTTAAATACAGGAGTAACAGAGCACAACTACTTCACAAGAAAGTCAAATAAAACAAACACATACAGGTAATACTAAAACAAAAACTGGAATATTATTTAAATAACCAGAACTTTACTGTTCCCATATCATTTAACCCTTTGAGTTGTGGCTAAGACTAGCTATTTAATAAAATGAAATTGTCTTCTTAATCTACATTAATTTGTTTTAAACGCGTAGTTTATCTTTATAGCGTGTGTTTAACCAGCTGAACACAGTTGCTAATCCTCAGCGCACACACACACACACACACGTCACTTGCATAGTGGAATGCAGATTTGGAGGAGGAAGAGGGTTGTTTTTATATTTTCCTCACGGTAGGAGGAGCCCGGGTTTAGTGAAACAGTGGCATCACTGTTTACAGAGATAGAGGAAGTACTGTAACTTTGTATTACAGTATAAAATAGGGGTACAATACATTAAAGACACGCTGGACAACATGCAAGAATCTAACAAAGACCAAAGATTAATCATATTTGTTTCATCACTGCAGGTCAACATTTTTAATTGGTCACCAAAAACTGTGTAACACCTTCACTACTACATAATACTACAAATTGTTATGATGAGAGCCATTCACCAATCAAACCGTGGTTCTTATTTCATTAAGTTTACATTTGTATTTCCCTTGTAACTTACTACAATGACGTAAGTTAAAATCATATGGTATGACATAATATTGATGCACCGGAAGTAAGCATTAACTCAGCAAAAATACATGAAATAGAGTTAACATTAGCTGACGTGTTAACAAGCTGGCAATCTTTCCATTATTAACAGGTTGGGAAAGATTATTATGACGCACTAAAACTTGATTTGGCAAGTTCACATTACATTGGCAACAACTTACTTAAAGTTAAGTTAGCAACAAACAGGACTTACCTCATAACTATTGTGTCTTCATGTTGTACCCATGGATATATAAAGTGATGGTTCAACCGCGAGAAGTTCTTCTTCCATGGAAAGGAAAACAATGCCCTTACCGTTATTCTGATTGGCCCGAAGACTCAAGAAGCATCTTTGAAAATGTGTTTTACTGAGAAAAAGATTGCGACGTGACGAACATTTTCCGACCCACGTCTGGTCTTCAGTCCAAGAGAAATTGTGCTGGCCAAAAATTGCAAATTTCGCCAGAAAAGCGACTACTTTTGCAGGTATGGTACATTCTCAAGACTTGCACATTCACATGTATACATTTATACATGTTTTCATTTTTATTTCCCTCGTAACTTAGGACACTGACGCAAGTTAAAATCATGTGATATGACATAATACTGATGCACTCGTAAGCATTAACTCAGCAAAAATACATGAAATAGAGTTAACATTAGCTGACGTGTTAACAAGCTGGCAATCTTTCCATTATTAACAGTTTGGGAAAGATTATTATGACGCACTAAAACTTGATTTGGCAAGTTCACATTACATTGGCAACAACTTACTTATAGTTAAGTTAGCAACAAACAGGACTTACCTCATAACTAGTGTTTCTTCAAGTTGTACCGATGGATATATAAAGTGATGGTTCAACCGCGAAAAGTTTTTCTTCCATGGAAAATAAAAACAATGCCGTTACCTTGATTCTGATTGGCCCAAAGACTCGAGAATCATTGTCGAAAAGTTGTTGTACTGAGAAGAAGATTGCGACGTGACAAACATTTTCAGACCGGCGTCTGGTCTTCAGTCTAAGAGAAATTGTGCTGGCCAAAAATGGCAAACTTTGCCAGAAAAGCGACTACTTTTGCAGGTATGGTACATACTCAAGACTTGCACATTCACATGTATACATTTATACAAGTTTTCATTTGTATTTCCCTCGTAACTTAAGACAATGACGCAAGTTAAAATCATATGACATGACATAATACTGATGCACTCGTAAGCATTAACTCAGCAAAAATACATGAAATAGAGTTAACATTAGCTGACGTGTTAACAAGCTGGCAATCTTTCCATTATTAACAGGTTGGGAAAGATTATTATGACGCACTAAAACTTGATTTGGCAAGTTCACATTACATTAGCAACAACTTACTTAAAGTTAAGTTAGCAACAAACAGGACATAGTGTCTTCATGTTGTACCCATGGATATAAAAAGTGATGGTTCAACCGCGAAAAGTTCTTCTTCCATGGAAAATAAAACAATGCCCTTACCGTGATTCTGATCGGCCCGAAGACTCAAGAAGCATCTTTGAAAATATGTTTTACTGAGAAGAAGATCGCGACGTGACAAACATTTTCAGAACCACGTCTGGTCTTCAAGGGAAATTGTGCTGGCCAAAAATGGCAAATTTCGCCAGAAAAGCGTCTACTTTTGCAGGTATGGTACATACTCAAGACTTGCACATTCACATGTATACATTTGACATATTCATAATTATTCATATCTGTTTATATGTAAAGATATTTAAATTGTACCTTATACTGTCACTTAGATTTCTAATTTGTTGTTCTGATAGTGTGAACTTTTAGCTGTCCTGTTCTGTGTTTCACCCTCATTGTTGTTCCTGCTCTGACACCTGGGTTTTCCTACGAGGTTTAATAAAGGTTTATTTTATCTTACCTTATATCAACATTTTCCTCTAAGGTCAAAGTGAAAGAAAGACAATATATTATGCTACTGATTGTCAAGAAAAGTAGAGCTTGTATGCCAGGATAACACCCAGTATCTCTAGTTCCAGGATTCCATGAAACAAGGGAAGAAGAAAAATAATGATGCAAGAAATGAAAGAAAGGGATGACATTTGAAATATTTAAGGGACTTACCTTGAGTTTCTAACAAATTAATTCAGCACTAAAGATTAATGTGGAAGAATAAGAAAATGTTCCTCCGAGAACAAAGTAGAAGAAAGACAAAATATTAAGCTACTGAGTTTGGCTCTCAGATTAAAACCAGTGACTAAGTACATTTACTCACAGAATGTAGTACATTACTTGAGTATTTCCATTTTATACTACTATATCCTTCTAGTCCACTACATTTTGGAAGCAAACATTGTACTTTTTACTCCACTGCGTGTTTTTTTACAGGTTAATATTATTAATACAAAAATACATCAACTAATACATTATAATGTACTATTTTAAATGAAGATACTTGGCATTATAAAAGGTTATTAAAGGTTACTAAAAGGTATCTCAATCTTTTCCCGCTGTACGATTAAAATGTTGAACACAATAAAATATCAATAATTATATCCCTTTAATATACTGTATATATTATTCCAACAATGGTCTCTTTGGATGATGAGTACGTTTAGATGTGGTGCTACTTTATACTTTTAATCCATTCAGAGGCAAATATTGTACTTTTTACTCTATTACATTTAATAAGCACTCACATTTAATTTATACATATAAAAGCACACGATAAGATGATGTGGTATAATGCATTGCTGTACTACTAATATACACAGGATTTAAAGTTTCTACTATTTTAATTCAATGTTGACAAAGTACAATGCTCTTTACTTTTGATACTTGATGTACATGTATCTGTTACGCATGTACTTTATATTATTCTGAAATAGGCCATTGTGAAGAATCAATACTGAAGTACATTTTGTTGCTAATACTTTTGTACCTGTGACATTTTCAATGCGTAGAGACATAGAGACTTTGGCTTGTAACAAAGTATTTCTACACTGTGGTATCATTACAAGTATAAGATGTGAGTACTTCTTCCATTGATTAAAACACTGTCTGTCCAGTTTTGGGGGTTTCCATAAAGTACTTGAAGGATATAAAGAAGATGTAAGAAATGAAAGAGATGTGTTATGATCCCACCCAATCTAAATCTACAGAGTAACTTCAGCAGCAAAGATAGATGTGGAGCCTTAAAAATAATTATAGTTTCCTCTGAGGTGAAAGTGGATGTGTGAGTGTATTTAATTACCTCCCGCCATTTCCAGAGTGACATCACTTTTCATACAGCACATCAAGAAAGGCTGCATTCCTCATCTTCACTCCTCCTCTTCCTCCTCCTCCTCTAAAGTGTCTGTAGGTGCGTTTTTGTGTCACAGCCTGAATACACAAGAGTGAGAAGGAGAAAAAAACATCAATGAAACTGAGAGAAGCTTAAACTACAAGGTAAGGGTTTTTAAATTCATACTGATGCTTATTTCTTTCTCTTAAAAATACAAATGTTATTTCTTGTGGGATGGGAAATATATTTTTCAAAAGTCATTTTTGTATGTAATGAAAAGCATGACTTGTATTTTATTGTGACTCCATAAGATTAAATCTAGAACAGAAGGGCATTCCAAATACCTTGATTTTGGATTTATTCAAAATGATGTTGTACATGATATACTTTAGGTTTCATGAGGTTATAACTATGTTGCAGACAGTTTAACATAATACATATATAAGCCTGCGAAAAGGTGCACATAAAATCAAGCTAACAAAACAAGTTAAAAATAACCATTTGTGTAAAACACCAACTATAATAATGTCTTAATTTAGAAAAGATTTATTCAATTGAAAAAAAATCAAAGCTAAGCATTTACGGATTTACAAATAAATTCAATACCTCAAACGAAACAAACATATTAAAATGAAACTAAGGAGGTTTATTTCTATCATTATACATTTACAAAACACATTTTTATTTAAAACCGAAAAGACACATACATTTCCTAAATACTTCCTAAGGCTTCACATTACATTTGTTATCAGAAATATTTAGAAAATAAGTTTCTGATCATCAATACAAAGATGGTTTTAATGATAGTTTCCACAGGAGTTCACTTTGATTATCTTATTTGTGAAAGGGAATTTGAACAGTGGGAGTAAACAGAAAGCGCTTTCTGATTTTGTTTCTTCATGGTTTATTGCACTTGGATAAAAGCGTTGGCTTAATTGAATGTGTTCATGTCCTTTGGCCATATTACGGGATTGATTAAGGGCTGAATACTGAAGGCTACATGCAGCTTAACAAACAGGAGCTGTAGTTTCTATGATTATCTGGTGTTGACGATACTGACGGAGAGTTTGAACAGTGGAAGTAAACAGAGAGTTGAGGTATTTGTGGGTGGAGTCTGAGTCCTGCAGGAATGTCAGCGTGTTTTGCCACATTCCTGCCCTCAGCAAACCTGAGTGTCTTCTTCTGCAAACACACAGAAACTACACACACACACCTCACTGTCACACACCGGTTTCCTTGACCTAAATTTAAACCGGCCTGATGCGTTAAGCTGATGAAAAATATGTGGTCCAAGTTTATATACACACAGAGTTATTGCTGTTTCACTGATTCTTGAAGCACTCGGAAAGTATTACTGTAACTCTAGTAGCCAATGCATTTACTGAGTGTGCAAACTGAATGCATATTATCTGGTTTACACTGACTTTGTTATTGAATAACTCTACATTGTTACAGTATGGCTGTGAACTGTGTGAAAATACTTTTACATAATGATTCACAAATCAGAGCGCAAGCATTATAATTGGCCACAGGGTTAAGTGTGATTTGGACAGGAATGGAGGCAGAAACTTTTACACATGTGGATACCTGTGTGTATCTGTGTTTATTTACTTACTTACTTCCTATTTAATCGCAACCTGCTATTCCCAGGCTGTTGTTTTCATTTGTATTATCTGTGAATAGTTGATGCTCCGTGTGCCAATGAAAATGATGCTTTGTGTGTAGTGTGTTAATGCAAAAAACACACATTTTAGAAGAGTTTGAAGATGAATGTAATATATATACAACAACAACAACCACAGAATATATGAATATGTATCTATTAAGAATTAGAAACCGTTTTAAATATCAAAAGCTCGACTCCATTGTTACAGAAATATTGCATTAAATAGTTTAACCTCCACTAACATTATACACAGATGTGAAATAATTACTGAAACTAAATTGCAAAAATAGTCTTTTACAACTACTGCATATAAAAGTCTGACTTTGCCTAGATATTTCAACCTTTAATATTACTGTTTATTTATAACTTGAGTTATATTCGCTAATAATGTGAATCCATAAAGTAACTAAAGCTGTCAAAATGCTGCCTGTTAAATGTAGTTGAGTATTTTAAGTAAATGTTTTCTTCTGCACTTAAACTGAAGTTTCTAAAGTGTATAATATCATTACTTAAACGAATAAATATGTAAGCAAACTAAAAATCCCAATTTAAATAACAGATAGACATTTTATGTTAGACACTACGATCACGCAGACAGCGCTGCAGTGTTGTCATAGCAACCACACCCTCCACTAGATAAAGCCTAAAATAAAACAAGTTCAAAATAAAGATTACAACAAAGGAAACATCTCCATACCTGTCGTGAAATATATGAACACAATCCTCCACTGTGTGCTCTGTGTGACAGGCGGCTCTCCTGATTAAAAAGCAAAATAAATACATTTCACGAAAACGGTGATCTGTAAGCTAGCTTGGGAGCTTCTAAAATTAGCCCATAGTAGGCTATGTAAGATAAAAACTATCAAAAAAAGTTATTTAGCGATGGTAAAAATAACAGGATTCACACAGAATGTATTTGATAATATGTACAATTAGAAAAAACAATAACAATGTATTTAATTACAATTGAAAACGTATTTAAACATGTTTAAGACGGACACAACCCACCTCTCTGTTAGCCGGACACAGTTTAGGGCTGCACGCGCACGTAAGTACGAACGTAGGTGACCAACCTGTGACCAACTGACAAACCGTCACATCTGGCCAAATAATGTTTGTTTGTTTTAAATATAAAACATATAGCCATATCAAGCACCACAAAGTTATAAGAATAAAGGGGAGAATGTCATTCTACATTAACTATATTTAATACACATACAAAAAAGTATATAACAAAATAAAATCCTTTTAGGTTACATGCAATTGTGAGTAAAAACAGGTTAATATAATCTATATAAAACTGTGAAAGAGCGATAACGGGCAATTAAACACAACAGGTAGGCTAGTTTTGCAGATCAGAATCAGAAACAAGTTTTTTTCCAAGTTCAAGGAATTTGCTTTGGTGTATGGTGCATAAACACAGTCGAAGATAACATGTACGAAAAACAACCACAAGAAAAAAACTATAAAAACATATTTATATGAAATATAAATGTACCAAAAAACTACGTCCAGTTAGGATCATTTGACAAATTAATCAAATCAAATACGTGTAGTATTGTTATGAAAAGTCTAATGCTGTGCTGTGCAGATAATAGTCTTCTTCTTCTACTTAAGGGACATTTTGAATGAAGGAACTTTACTTGAGTATTCAACTAAGCCGCGGTACAAAAAACAAAAACATAACATATCATCTTTTTTTCTTATTATTCACAGAAAGTTCGAACATTTTCAATATCAATTTTAAATGTGTGTGTGTGTGTGTGTGTTTGTCTCCCTGCAGATGGAGCTGAAGGTGTGGGTGCAGGGCGTGGTCAGAGTGGTGTGCGGCCTCTCAGAAAACACTTCCTGTCAGGACGTGGTCGTAACACTCGCACAAGCAATCGGTAAGGCTCCTAATTTAGCTTGACTGTCTTTAAACATATAGTTTACACAATGTGTTTAAAGACAAACTATTTAGTGTTGTTGCAATAGAAACATCTAGTTTGGCTTTATTTTGTAACGTGAGCCTTTTAAATGATGAGTAAGTGGAATTAGGGTTCAGTTTTGGGTCAGGGATGTTGTATTTTTGCAGGATGACCCTTGAAGGCTGCATCTTCCCGGTTCCCTCCAACAAAAAGTCAATGGGATTTTTCTATTGGGGTATTTACCAATGTACTTTATGTCGTAGCTTGTTTTAACCACAGACCTTATTTCAGGATAACAACCAAAAACACAATTACAAAACCATTGACATCCAGACAAGTAAAAAGCTAAAAGTACCCAAATGTAAAATCTTTTTAGGGTTTTAGGACTCATTCCTGCACCACTCTGCGTCACTCAGATATCTCCAATGGGTGGCAACCTTTCCCAAAAACAAAGACTGTTAGATATTCATCCTTCATATCTCTGTATTGTGTTACTACTTCTTTGATGGCTCCAACAGGATTGTTGACATCCACCTGGATCCATCTTCATCTTCTTAGTAGACACATGATTTGTTTTGCTCGCATTGGGACTATCTATGTTGTAAATGTATTCTCTTTTTAATTTATTTTAATTTGCAAGTCTGTCCTTCCTGGAATAGGGATCCCTTCTCTGTTGAGTTTTCCAACATTTTCTCCAAATGATCTGTGGGGTTGTGTGGAAGTTAATCTTTGTCTGATGTGAGGGTCTAAGGAAAGAGGGAGTCATATTCGTATTCTTTGTAAACTATAATGCCCCCAAATGTAGAATGTGTGATGTTGGGCTTTATAAATGAAACTTTGATGATTGATTGATTGACTCAAATCCAGAACCAGACATTTTGTACGCTGCTATGGACAGTCTTGCAGTAATGCACATTTCTCAAAGTTATTTTTATGACTGTTATTTTGTATATATTGATTGTTGTGCTTTTAATTATGTCTAAATGTGTGCATATGTACAAATGTGTCTGTTGATTGTATAAATACATTTGTATACATCTTTGTATATATCTTTGTTATCGTATTCGTGATTGTGGGAAACAGTATTTCGATCTCCCTCTCTGTAGCACAAACTGAAAGATTGACAATAAAGTTGACTTTGATTGATTGTTTGTTTCCCGCAGGTCAGACAGGTCGTTATATTCTCATCTTGAAGCTTCGGGGGACGGAGAGGCAGCTGGTTGCAGATGAACGTCCTCTCCAGCACTTGGCTCACCTGGGGCAGCAGGCGGCGGAGGTCCAGTTTGTTCTGCGGAGGACCGGCCCCATCCTCAGTGAGGGTAAGGAAACCCCCACCAGAGAGGGACGTTTCCCCCTGCACGGACCCCCAGAACCAGAGGCGCTTAAACGCAATGACCCACACAAAGCTCTCAGCTTCAGCCTGGGTCCCTCCACACATCCCAAGAGGAGGAAATCAAACAGGGAGTGGTCTCCGTCGCCCCGAGCCTCCCCAGAACCTAGAGCCTCCCCAGTCTCTTTCCTGGACCCTCCCTCCTCTTCCTCTTCCTCCAAAGAAGAGGTATTCAAGCAGATCCTGCAGCAGCAGAGGAGGCTGCAGGACCTGGACTTACGGCTTGAGGATCTGGAAGGAGAGGCCGAGGTGCTGGAGAGGACGTCGGACACAGTTCTCAGTCTCACTCCGGCCCTGGAAGCAGAACTGGAGGAGCTGGAGCAGCGTCTGAGGCAGAACCAGGATGACCTCAAGCACAGAGAGCAGTGGGAGCAGCAGTTACAAGAAGAGATGGACAGAGAACAAGGTAGGACTGCAGCTAACGATCATTTTCATTACTGATTGTTGCGTTCCCTCCTAAATTAGGGGTACAAAGGGAAGTAACAAAATATAAAAAAATAACCGGGAGAAAAAAAAAGAGAGAGGGCTCACCAGCCAATTAACAAAGTAAACTTGTGACAAACAAGAACAACTTTCTCCTAAAAGAAAGGGATTCAAGTGCTCAATACAAAAACAACTGGAGCACATATCCTAACAATGAACAAACCAGGTCTCACACAGAGACCCCACACCACACATGCAGCCCAGAGGAGTAACACTGTAAACACGCCACTAACACTTTTTAGACTTGCTGCTAGACTCTAGACTAGGAGATAATCCAACTTTCTCAGGTGTGATGGAAAATCACTTGATTCCTGATTCTTGTTCCTGTGGTTTGTGCAAAAAATAGAAAATATCCTTCAAATTCCAACTGTTTTAATAAAGCATACTACACAAGCATCTTCTTCCCTCACATAAAAAAGTTAACAATGTATTAAAATGTTTTTATATCACTCTTCAATCTCAATTGTTTTATACTATTGAGGTTTGATGGTACAGACTTATGGTATAACCATGTGCATTGTAAGTTTGGTAAGACTTTCAATATATAAAATGTAATCAGAAGTCGTCCTCATATGCTTTACAGATTTTGCACAGCCCTCATTCACAGCGGCTCAAATTCATATATTCCACTAAACTATGGAATATAATATGTGATGACAAATGAAAGCTTTAGCGCAAGTTCAATAAGGAAGACCTAACACGAGTCACTTACACGTCACTCTATGGCTCCCTTCCCCCCTCATTAAATCGCCAAACACCATTACATTCTCCTGTTGTATTATCATGGCAATCATTTCATTCATATGACGTGTAAACAATAAATATTTAATTCTTACATCACGTCTCTCCGGTTTGAACTGTTTTGCATCAACTGTTTTTTGTTTCCCCCTTTTCCTGATGCTTAAATGATATTTTTCACCCTTTGTGGAAGAAATGAAAGTGATGTGATATGTTGAAAATATCAATAGGCTATTCAAACCCTCAGTAAACACATATTCAAGTGTGACTAAGTCGCTGCTTGAACAGAATCTTTTTGGGTTTTTAACCAGAAGTCTTTATTGTTCTGTTTGATTGCATGGACTCATTGACTTTTGGGTATAACCATGTGCACTGTGAGCTTGGTAAGAGTTACTTTGAGTATATCAAAAATGTAATTAAGAATCAGGAATGCTCCTAATATATGCATTATTTATGAAGTTTGACTAATCGTTCCCGCTTTAACTGTTATCAACAGATTTGCACAGTCGTCTGCACCAGATCAACTCGTCACTGGACGATCACAGTTATCAGATCGAGGAGCTCCAGTCCCAATCTGCACATCTAGAGCAGGACCTTCAGCTCCGAGCCCAGAAACGAAGCTCTCGGGCGGACACTGTGCAGCCGGAGGAGGCCCTGAAGCAGGAGCTGCACGTCCGCCTGCAGCAGGGAGCCGAACTGGAGGCAACGCTGTCACAAACACGGAGGCAAATAGAAAATACTCAAACAAGGCAGCAGGTAAAACTCCTCCATCTTCCAATAACCAGCACTGGACAAGACATTTACTCACATGCTGTATTTAGAATATTTTGAGGCCTCTTCTAAACTTTCCATTTCCATTCATGGTATAAGACTTTAGTCAAAATAAAGTGTGAGTGTTCATGGTATAAACATGTCCCCCAGCGCCAGAGGTAGAATAAGTATTAAGACCTTTAAGTAAGAGTTGTAATACTAACTTGTAAAAGTATTCTTTCTCAAGTAAATCTGCTTCCAGTAGAAGTATACTAAAAGTATCAAAAGTAAAAGTACTTAATGTGCGTAATGGGCCATTTCAGTTTCATGTATATAACAGGCCTGGATATGATTAACGATGCATTGATGTGTTCCTCACAGCTGGTCAATGTGGAGCTATTTTGATTTACTTTATAAACTGCTGCTGGATATCTAAACATACCGTTTTATAGTTTATTTATTAGTTTAGTTATATTTTTTACAATATTGGCTATTAAATGGAAACTACCTCAAATCTGTACTTGAGTAAATGTAGTGTTTTACATCATGTGTGTCTACATGCCCAGTGCAACATGGGACTTTCCATGTGAGGTGGACTATAAGGTGGTGCAGTGAGGATGGCTTTTTGCAGTCTGACTGGAAAGTTAGCATCCCAAAGTTTCCCTCCACAAAAATCCAACAGGTTTTTTCCATTGGATTTTGGATTCATGCAGAATAAATCTCTGTGGCAAACCAATGTTTATGATACTTACACTTTTTGTTCAGCAGGATAATCTCCACATATTGACACTACTCATTTAGACACTTTTTAACAACCACCGTTTTTAGACTGGGGACGTACTTACTGACGTATTTTATGTTGTAGAATTAAAATCTCTTCAGCTTTTGTTAACCACAGACCTTATGAAATAACAAAAACAAATTCAAAAGTACATTGCCTTCCAAACGAGGGATGAAAAAGTTCTAAAATGCAGACTCATGTCAAGGTTTAGGACTCATTCCTGCACCACGCTATAAAGCCTTTAAAGACTGTTATCATTTCTAAAGGATTAAACGTCTCTACCAAATGCATTGAGCTCAGCGTTGGTGCTGTTGGTGATATAATGTTCCTGCGTGTTGTAGGGCAGATGGGAGATGATGGAGGAGCTGAACAAGGATCTGAGGCAGTGTGAGCTGCAGCAGTTCATCCAGCAGGCCGGCAGTCCTCACGTAGACCAGACCTCCTCGCTGCCCGGCCCTGAAGGCTACCTCCGCAACGCTGGGATCATGGAGTAGGAGTCTGCTGCGTCGGATTATTGGAAGGGATTAATGAAGAAGTATATTGAAGGGATTAATGAAGAATTATATTGAAGGAATTAATGAAAGAAGGTATATTGAAGGAATTAAGTGAAGAAGTATATTGAAGGGATAATGAAGAAGTATATTGGAAGGGATTTATTAAGATTATATGAAGGAATTAATGAGACGTATTGAAGGGATTAATGAAGAATATATTGAAGGACTTCCTGCCGCCTTCTCTTAGCCGGGCTTCCTGCCGCCGTCTCTTGCCGCGGCCTATCCAGCCGCCGTCTCTTGCCGCCTTCCTGCCGCCGTCTTTGGCCGGCCTTCTGGCCGCCTCTCTTGCCGGCTTCATGCCGACCTCTCATGCCCGGGCTTCCTATCCTCCGTCTCTTGCCCGCCTTCCTGCCGCCTTCTCTATGCCGGCTTCCTTACGCCGTTCTTGCCGGGCTTCATGCCCCGTCTCTTGCCGGGGGGTCTTCCTAGCCGCAGTCTTTGCCGGCCTTCCTGCCGCCGTCTCTTGCCGGGCTTCCTGCCGCCGTCTCTTGCCGGCCTTCCTGCCGCCGTCTCTTGCCGGGCTTCTGCCGCGTCTCTTGCCGGCCTTCCTGCCGCCTTCTCTTGCCGGCATTAATGAAGAAGTATATTGAAGGGATTAATGAAGAAGTATATTGAAGGAATTAATGAAGATTATATTGAAGGGATTAATGAAGAAGTGTACAGATCAGTTTGTACTGAGAAAGTCCTGCTTTCTTGCTTTTAGTAAATGCACATATGAAAGAAATAACTGTGAAATAGAGTTAAGTTAATTCCATTGTCAGCTGAAAATGTGTTTAATGTCTAAAGCAACGAAGAAAGAGCTACTAAGATATACAATTGAACTGCAGGACATGATGGAGGCCTGTTCAGTGTGTGTGTGTGTGTGTGTGTGTGTGTGTGTGTGTGTGTGTGTGTGTGTGTGTGTGTGTGTGTGTGTGGTGTGTGTGTGTGTGTGTGTGTGTGTGTGTGTGTGTGTGTGTGTGTGTGTGTGATAAGCCAATCACTGCCGGTTTCTTTGAAAGAGAATACATATTTAAGAAAAAAATGTCTTTAAAAGAATTTGAAATTATATTTTGTATTTGCTTGTTTTTATTATTTCATAAAGTCTTCATATAATGCATTGCTCTCTTGTTATTCTTTGTGTATTACTTCATGCTCACATAAGGGCGCCACAGTTTAATTGAGAGGTATAGCTCCTACATGTAATATCTCTGCAGTGTCACCTTCGACCTGATCGTGAGCTCTTCCTCTTTGTCTTGTGTGTGTCCTCCAGGTTACAGCGTGTAGGTTCTATTACTTTGCATAGCATTGCCAGCTTTATCAACCTTTACCTGACAAAGAAACTGCTTTAAAGATTTCGAATGAACTGTAATAACACTGATTCAGGCGAATTATCAATATTTGTATTTATTGTATCAGTTTATTTGGCAGGGACGTTGCACATTAATGAACACTTAAAACATGAGTGTAACTACGCCGGATTTAGCTTTGAGCTACTTTCCATCCGCAGTCCCTCACATAAAACATTAAGAAAATGAAAATTACAAACATAGCAGTACAAATACATAAAATGCAAGAAAAGAGTAAGTGTAGAATACCCAAGCATATATTTGATTAGTTTATCCAAATAACTCATATTTTGGAATCAACAGTGATGTTTGGAGCTGTGAGGATCTGCTGGCTGTATGAGAGCAGCCGGTCTGCTGTACAAATGTTTTTATCATTACTGCACTGCCAGAAGACACAGGTCCGCACTGCAGGTCTAACCACAATAATCCCAGTTTTAATTCCAATTTGGCGATAACTTTAAAACAGAATAACTCCCTGATGGGGCCAACATTTAGTGAGATGCTACTTGCTCCAGTATGTAATCCTATTGAGCATATACTCCTTTGTTTACCCTGACACACTCCTATAAGTAAAGGACCCTGCAGAGAAATAAAACTCAGTCTTTTTGTTATTTTGCTAACCTGGTTTAGAGAAATATCATTCACTCTTAGATTCCCATCCAATTAGGTGAAGTTACATTTTAAATCGCCTGCTTTGCCTCACATGGATGTTGCTGCAAAGGTTCAGAGCGTCTCTGGTGCTGCTAATGGGATCGTGTAAATCCGAGAACAGTTTAGTGCATGTTCTTCGTTACGCAAAGGTCTCAGGATCCCGCTGAGATTATTACCCGTAATCCTTTATTTTCTCACCACGCCGTATGAGCCTTAGTCCAACTGCACATAATCATTGAGCAGAGGAGTGTCATTTATGTATCCTTAGATCTTTAGTATTAGTGAAAATACAGACATCAATTTACTGCTTCTGATGCTGTTTGAAAAAAAGTGACTTAACTCAGCAAATTACATTTTTAAATCAAATTTCTATGAGGAAAAAAAGAAAGCAGCACACTTGAATGTCAACATTTGTAATCTTTAGAGACTATTTCTCATTCTCCAGACCCTTTCGTTTCCCTGTGGCTCACTTTGACTTATCAGGCTCAGTTATGAGACTTATCTAAAGATACCCTAACAACAGCACCATGTGAAACAGGCCGAGGTGAACACGTGATTTTGAAATGTGATCGTCAAAATCAATTGGCTATCTAAATCTGTTTGGATTGTAGTTACTATAACTAATGATATATGACATTATTTTGGAACCTGATTAACGGTAAGCAAAGAGGGAAGTACTTAAATATATATTGCTTTCTTAAGTTAAACTAGTATTACTACAGTGTAGAAATGCTCTGCTGCATTGAAGTCCTGCATTCAAAATTGTACTTAAATAAGAGTAAAAAAGTATTAGCATCAAAATATACTTAAAGTACCAAAACTAATATTATCAGAATAGCATGCATCATATCACTCGACTGTAAGTATGGATGCATTAATGTTTTCATCATTTCAATTGTGCAGCTGAAAAGGTACACTGCTAGGTATCTTAATTAATAATATGAAGTAACTAATGTTGACAAAGGAAGGAAAAAGTGCAATACTGGCTCCCATAATATCGCATATCAAATAATCTTATAAAGTGCAATTACAATTCTGATTCGGTTTTCTTCTTAACTCTCAAATATCCGCATTGGCCTCAACATCTGGTATTGGATGCACTTTCTTTACAAAACAACCCGAGAAAGGTTTGTTTTATCCATTGAGGTCACATGGAGTTAAATATTAAGAGTTTTATCAACATAAAGCCCGTTCCTTATAAATAATGTAACAATACCGAAGTGATGGCCCTGCTCTCGACTCTCTGTGTGTTCTTTGGGATAGTCAGCGCTCCCTGCTGTTCAAGGGGAACATTCAGCTCTAAACCAAATGCAAAAGGACTTAAGAAAATATAAATGTATGTGGATTGGCAAATTGAAACGATGCATTTTAAAGTGCCCAATGCAGGAAAGAAATACAACTTTTAATTATTCGAATTCAAGATCTTGCACTTCTTGTTTTGAGTTTCAATTGTGATGCACGTCCATACTTTAATACATATATTTAAGGACAATCTGAACTACATTTTCTCAAAGAGGGCTCTATAGGAAAACTAAAAAGTTAAAGCAGATGTGAGCAATACAAACAGTTGCTCAGTAGATATCAGCCCACTGTTAATCAGTCAGAATCAGAACTCTTATTTTATTATTATTGAGTGTGTGATGGTTGCTCCGTTTAGAATAAAATAAAATACAAATATTTACTTAAAAACCAGAAGTTTAATTAAAATGTGCAATTTAAGAAAAGTAAAATAGAATAAAAATTGTTATATAAACACAAGTAGTTTATGTAAAATGTGCATTAAAAGATTAAATAAAAATAAATAAAAATATTCATATAAATAAAATAAGTAAAACTTTCCAATAAATATATAATTAAAACATAATTAAAACGTTATTTAAAAAACACAACAAGTTAAAGTAAAAATGTGCACATTGTACAATATGTATATGTAACACACAATATGTTTGTATGTGTATATTAGAAAATATGCAGTAATAAAGGTATTCTGATTCGGAATCTGATTAACGAGAATATTTGATGTGTCAAAGGGAAAAAATCACTTTGTATTTTAACTTTAACCTGCAATTAGTAAAATATTGAAAAATGGTGTTGTATTTATTCTGTTAGTCCATTAGTTAGATGAAAACAGCCAACTCATTCTCAAATTGTGCTGGTTGACGGACAGCTGATGTTAAAGCTGTCTGTAATTCACTCTCCTCTCTTTGATTAAGTAGACACCAACGCCTTGTTGGCCAAAGATCAAGCGATTAACGAGCTAATAGGATTGACTGATTGTCAGCCTGCAGTCCCTCTGCCAGCTCCTCACTTTGACTGGGGAGAGTGAGCCTTATGCATCAGGGATCTCAGAATCAGAAGCCAAACACTCACTCAAACATAATTTAAACTCTTCTTTTAAAAGCCACACCATGGGGCAGGAGGAGAGCCACAGCGAGGAGATGAATTTGGTGCAAATTCAGGATCTTTGCATCATTTTCATGAAGGAGTGTCCGAGCGGGGCGCTGCACCTGCACGAGTTCAAGAGGATCTTCGGGGTGCCGAGTTCCTCTGAAGAGGAGTCGCTTTACATCGAGACGTTATTCCACTCCTTCGACACAAATCAGGTAAAAAGAAGCAGCAGATTTCTCTTTGTGGAAACAGACCGATTGCAGTGGGCAAACATGTTAGTGTACATTCAAGCAGACATGCAGAAATGTTTAACTAACAGTGTGTTTTATGTCATTAATCATTTAAATGTATAATTATTTAATTACACTGAAAGAACTGAAATGTTGACGTTAATTAGATGTATTATGTCAACAGATTTCACGTACCTGTATCAGATTAGTTGAAAGCAATAACATTACATTTAAATAACAAACATTAGGTTCAACTTAATATTATTGCTTTCAACTAACGTAATACAGTTATGTGATATTTGTTGACATAATACATTTAATTAAAGTCAACATTTCAGTTTTTCAGTGCAGTTACAGGCACAGTAGACACATGTGTGAGCAACATCTAACAATAACTTATAAAAGCTAATTGTGAATGCAACGCATTATTTCTGTTGCAATGAAGGATTTGTGATTTGCAGGATAACGCTCTGGACTTCATCGAGTATGTGGCAGCTCTCAACTTAATCTTAAGAGGGAATATCGAAGACCGACTAAAGTGGTCCTTCAAGTTGTACGACAAGGACGGGAACGGCAGGTTGGACCGACATGAAGTGAAGCTCATCATAAAAGTGAGAAATATGCAGATAAACAGTTTTCATTGTAAGTGTTTGGTGGAGAGTAATGCCCATTTTAACAGTCATTTGAAAAGTGCCAAGGTTTTGAGTATACGATCCTCTCCAGATGGATTACACTACTGACGCAGGGGCCATGCGTACCAGTGGTAGAAAGTAACTAAGTACATTTAGTCCTGTACCACATTTGAGGTACTTGTACTTTACCTGAGTATTTTCATTATTATACTTTCACTGTATTTTGGAGATATTTGTTTTGTAATTTTTACTCCAGTATATTTATTATACAGATTGAGTTTATAAATTCAGATTTGGACACACAACATTTAGGAAACACTTTTAAAATATGATTAGTATCAGATTAAACCATCCAACATTATATTCAAGTAAAACCATGAGTGGGTTAGCAGGAATTTAAGAAGTGCTTTGTCCAACAGTCTTTCACAATTGTGGCTTCTTAAAAGTGAACATTTGCTGCTTTTGCTTAAAAATATATTCAAATATTTGTAGAGTTGTTTACGGCAATGAGTTATTTTACTTTTACTACTTTAAAAGGTCCTATTTCATGCTTTTCCGGTTATTACCCGTCCCCTTGTGAGTTATGAAGGTGTTTCTGCATGTAAACGGTCGGCAGAGTCACAAACCCTCAAAGTACACCCTGGAGCGAGTAAAACTCTAACACAGAGAAGACCTGTCTGTGCTGCCCCAGAACGCCTCGTTGGACATTTCTCTTTTTCCATTGTTTACTTCCTGGGTACAGTGACATGCCCATACCCGAATGGACCAATCCGTGGAGCTCCTCACACACACACACTCTCTCAGCGGCAAAACTGTGACGCGCTGGGGGGTGGGGGGCGCCGCGTTTGGGGGGTGCTAGTGGAGCCTCGCAGATGGGGGTGCTGCAGCCCCCTCAGCACCCCCCCCCCCTTCCCGCGTCCATTCGCGATGTCTCGCTGTCTCGCAGATCCCACGCAGCAAGCAGGAAATGAACCCAGCGAGCCGCGCAACGTCCCGCCAACACGGCACCCAGACCCCACGCAGCATTCTCATCTGTTTGTCATTACTGGTGTCATTTCCTGGTTGCTAACAAACGCCATTTTAACACATACTGACTGATGTTCCGCTGTAACGGTGGTGGACTCATCAGAACAGAGTGGGCGAGCTGACCAATCAGAGCACAGTGGGCTCATAGGGAGGGGGGGGGGGGGGCAGAAGCTCCAACAAGCCGTGTAGGACAGAGAGTGAATACACATACTATACAGAGATGCTGTATGAGAAACCAATGTGAGTTTGGAACATTGAACAATGTAAATCTATTCTAGTAGACCTCAACAATGGAATTATGATCAGTAGAAATGGCCATGACATGGGACCTTTAATACTTCTACTTAAGTATCATTCCAGATGCAGTACTTTTTACTTGAAATTAAGTATTTTTACAGTGTGGTATTAGTACTTTTACTCAAGTGAAGAATTCAAAAACGTTTTCCACCCCTGATGCTTACCCATTCCTTTCCCTATTAACCTATGGTGTGTACAACATGACATTTGACAATACATATCTTTAAAGGCAGCTTTCTCACCTCCAATCACGGCAGAAATCTGTCACACACACCAAACTGTCCACTTTCATTCCTCTCTATATTCTGAAGCTTCTTACACAGCCTTCACACACTCATTTACACACACTCTATTACTAAAAACATGCAGAAATGACTTTTTAAAGGCATTTTTTGTATATAGTGACAAAGAGAGAGAGAGAGAGAGAGAGAGAGAGAGAGAGAGAGAGAGAGAGAGAGAGATCCCTCTATAAAAGCCTTTGACTCTAACATGCCAACAAAACAAAACAATAATTTTGAACCTGTCTTTATCCAATGTTCACATTGGATTACACACTGTTCATTCACATGTTTAATAAAACAATCATTAGAGTATTTTTTAAGCAAGTTTTTCAGGAAGTAATGCTAGTTTTAACCAAAGTGGAGTTGGATACACTCAGATGATGAGTCCCATGAGGTGAGTGAACAGGTTTTATGTAAGAATAATCCTCTCAAAACGGATTATACTTTAGTATTGGCCCGGTGTCAAGTCTTATGGATGAAAGGTTGCGTCCATCAGCTCAGTGGGAGGTAGAGAACGCTCTCTTTTCATGTAATGCTTCACAGTAAGCCTCTAAATGCAGAGGGGGTGAAAATTAGCCCAGTGTCAAAGTGAATTAGACTCACTGCAATTATGTGATATATGTTACAGTAACCTAAAAGTTACACACATTTAAGATCCTATATATATGTTATTTTATTTATTTTATCATCGAAAACCAAAACAAGAAGCTGAAAGACACAAAAACGCTTTTCAGAGTCACGCCCAGGCCTAGGGGAACCTAGGCGCCGCACAAAATTGCCCTCTCCCCACTCCCAAGAAATGGTCAGTGACACAGGAAATCAGCTTTTTGAGATTTAATTAACTCAAAAAGAGGTGAGACAATCCCAACATAAGAAACAAAAACCCTCTTTACAGAGTTTCCTTAAACTTGCCTGACAAAACAAATAAAATAAAATGCAGGCTTCTTAACTCCTACCAGAAAAAACGGAGAAAAAAGGGGTTCAAACTAAAATGGTTTCTCACTCCTAAACAAATCAAAGCGTGTCTTCAAGACAGATTAAATTAGTTTAGCTTTTACAAAGATACAACATTGTACAACAAGGACCAGTAATCTGTAACTTTAGCCACACAACAACAGATCTTCTACAACAGACACGGAGTTGGGAGTAGGAGAGGTCGATGAGAGGGAGAGGGACTGCATGGCTGCAGCTTAAATGCTCCTGTGTCTTCAGGTGGACCCATATTAATAACTATTCCCACTTCAATTGACTCCTACTGTCCTTTATTTTATTTATTTTGTATTCTAACCTTTTTTTATATTACCATATTTTATTCAATATGCTCCGAACATAACTTTTTAACGTTGTTAAGCACCTTGAGATGACTTTGTTTTTAAAGTGTGCTATAAAAATGAAATGTATTATTATTATTATATTTCATGTGAAAAACAGTGCATCTGTAAATTAGATTTTTTTTCACCATACTGTACCATCATCCATCCATCCATCCATCTTCTCCCGCTTATCCGTGGTCGGGTCGCGGGGGTAGCAGTTCCAGCAGAGAGCCCCAAACTTTCTTTTCCCTGGCGACATCAACCAGCTCTGACTGGGGGATCCCAAGGCGCTCCCAGGCCAGCGAAGAGATATAATCCCTCCACCTGGTCCTAGGTCTACCCCTTGGTCTCTTCCCAGCTGGACGTGCCTGGAACACCTCCCTAGAGAGGCGCCCAGGTGGCATCCTAACTAGGTGCCCGAACCACCTCAACTGGCTCCTTTCGACGCGAAGGAGTAGCGGCTCAACTCCGAGTCCCTCCCTGATGACCGAACTTCTCACCTTATCCCTAAGGGAGACACCAGCCACCCTGCGGAGAAAACCCATCTCGGCCGCTTGTATCTGCGATCTCGTTCTTTCGGTCATGACTCATCCTTCATGACCATAGGTGAGGGTAGGAACGAAAATGGCCCGGTAGACAGAGAGCTTTGCCTTCTGGCTCAGCTTCCTTTTCGTCACAACGGTGCGGTAAAGCGACTGCAGTACCGCTCCCGCTGCTCCGATTCTCCGGCCCATCTCACGCTCCATTGTTCCCTCACTCGAGAACAAGACCCCGAGATACTTGAACTCATTCACTTGGGGTAAGGACTCCAATCATACCATCATCTTTATTCTATATTTGCCTACACATCACATGCTAGTCTTCGCACATAGATACATCTGAATTGACTGACAGGAATGAGGTCATATTTGTTTCAGTAGCCAAAAGTTTAAAAAAGTATTTGTAATTTCTCTTCCCCCTTGCTTCAGCGTGTATAGTGCACATACGAGTTTTCACTTCTTATTGTCTTTTAGAAAACCTGTTTCTGGAGTCAAGTTTTCTAATTATTGAATAGTTTGATACTTCAAAATCTACCCAACTTTCATCAAAATCAGCCCACCGGGAGTACAAATATGGTCCTTTTCTGGTTAAAACTGCCATTTTTTTTATCCTGAAAATGTCAGAAACTGATTCAGCATCCTCAATAACCTCCTAAATTGTCCTAAGCATTCAAGTCATTTTAAAACTATTGTCTGCATAGCCTTACAGAGTAACACAAAGGAAGCACTAGTCATTGCACAGTCTGCATTTAGTGTGTTCTGTCTTTTCATCAACCTTAGAGTATTTTGTTAACTTGCAGAGCTGTTCATGAAGACATGTATTACACACTGAAGGTTGTACAGAAATAAAGGGTTAAGTAAATAAAGTTTGACAGATCAAAAGAAGATGATTTAAAAAGCCACAAGGCAATTCAGCATGCTTTACATAACACATCAAAAGCATTATAGAAAGGGCTAAAAACACACTTTGTGAAAGGACATTTCAACACTGCTATAAACCGCATTAAAGAGTACGCTGTAAGAAATGAATGCCCTCTTGATTTAATGATAGAAGCAGCAGCAACGTCTTCAGCCTGGATTCAAACAACATTTGTATGGTCTATTTTCTCCAGATATGTGCTTTGGTAGAAAGAAACTAAATACATTTACTCACATTTGACGTACTTGTACTTCACTTGAGTATTTTCTTTCCATGCCAATAGCCAAATGATAGATGATAACTTGGTGATAATTGCTTGGTTTTTGGGTGTTTTTCTTCATTGTACAATAAACCTTTGAGCTGTAACAGAGTAGTTTAAAGTATGGTATTATTTCTTTTTTTGAGTAAAGGATCTGAATACATCTAAGACTTCTGGATGGAGGTTACATCTATTCCAGTTTAATATTAAATCCGAGGACAGTTACAAAGTTAGAACAACTAGTTATTAACACTTTATAACAGACGCATTTCTTTTATCTCACTCAGATTCTTCACAAAATCAAATTCCAGAAGACTAACGTCAGCAGCATGACGCCGTCTCAAATCTGTGACCGGATCTTCGAGCTGGTCGACCAGAACGCTGACGGTGAGTGAGGGCAGCAAACATTAAAATACAATACTATATAAATATAACTAAAGTGCAAAGTCACTTTTACTTAAATCCTGTTTTTTAATGGTCATTTTCACAACATTTTATAGAAGTAGTTACAAGAAGTTTGAGTCATATCAGCTAAAGCAATTCACAGCAATGTTTCTACAACACTTTTTGCTTTTTACGAATATTAGGAAATAATGTGGCTTTGGGTTGAATCTCATAAAGTGAGACATTGCTCGTAAAAACATGCTTTTTTAACGCACTGCTCAATTTCTATTATCTCTTCTTTCAGATAGTGTAGACAAAAACGTCCAAAATACACATTCAGGAGTTTATTTGACTAACTTAGTCTATTTTTGTTTGCAGTTTCCCTAAATTCACCAGAAGTTAGCACAACATAATGCCTTATTTGCATATTTTAACATTAGATTTAAGAAGATTTGTAATACTAACAAAACATAATGTAAGTTATCGACTGGGTAAATTAATTTGAATGCTTTTTTCATGATTGACTTATTTGCGTTTTCTCCCCTTTAACAACATTTGGACTCTTTATTTTATAAGAGGAACATACACAAGAAGTAAAAGTAAAAAGGCTCAGTACAAATAGATACATCGCTATTCATATGAATATAAGAAGTTGTAGAAAAATGTGCAATAGAAAGATAAAATACATTTGGAAAGATATTTTACGGAGCCCCTGAAGGGACATGAAAACAAAAAAAATAGAGAGAGAAAAAAGAAAGTCGGGATAACGTGTTAGCTTCTCGTGCGCACGAGAAAGTTACCGGTGCGCCAAGGAGGAAGTGGAGCACACAGGAGGCAACCATTTTTTTGCACACTGTTATTTTACGTGGGGAAATGACAGTGCATACATTATTTGAGATATATTTCGAACTCAGACTTAATTTTAAGGACATTAAAATGTCGTTATCCCAACTTTATTTGTTCTCCCTCTTTTTATTTTTTTTCCATGTCCATGTCAACAAAATAAGTCTATATTAGAATTTGCAAATAAGGATAACAAAATATATTTATATTAAAATAAAAAGTTTAACTGAAAATGTGCAATAAAAGATACAAAAGTATAGAATATAAATATTGATTCAAACATAAGAAATTAAAGTAAAAAGTAGAGTGAACAAGTAAATCCAGGAGTCTATATACATGTAAATACATCAAATATACTGATGTATGTGTATTAATGTAGACTGAGTACACTGAAAAAACTGAAAAGTTGACTTGAATTAAATGAATGATGTCAACATATTACGGAAAAAATATATATATGTTAATAATTTAGTTTTTGTGAGAAGGGGTGGGATTAAATAAGTGTAAACTTCTTCCCATCTCTTCTCGGATGTGTAATTAAGTAGATCATTTGTTATATATAATTTGCTCGTCAATAATATTTTTTGTTTATCAATTTGATACTGCTTAAAGGTGGGGTATGTCATTTATTTCAGAAACACTTTTTGTTATATTCCATGGAATGCTCTTAACATCCCGACAGAATAGCAATGAATATATTAAATGCTTTGACAATAAATACATAAAAATGTCATCTGTGGAAGCCGTGGCGCTGTAGAAAGCTCGACCAATCATCTGAGCCGGCCCGGCTAAAGTAACTGGATGGCCTACCTGCCTGTCAGCCTTCGCACAAGCTTATCTCGTGCCCTCATTGGTCATGTGCGCGTTCGTGTGTGTTGGAGGAGGGGCTCTGTGAGGAAGTGGCAGATTTTTTCCGGCTGCGTATTTTCAAATTCTAGCGCACTCGAGCTGGTTTCTCCAGAATTACCTACCCCACCTTTAAGTTTGTACAGTATCATAATACTCATGTTTCATTTCATTATTATTATTATTTTGTTGTATTATTGTTTTACAAGTTTGAAATAAATCAAATCATTAGGTTCAAATTAAAATCACTGCTTTGAACTTAACTAATGAAGTTATGTGACATTTGTTGACATAATACATTTAATTAAAGTAAACGGTTCCGTTTTTTTCAGTGTAGATTTGTTGTACTGCTTTTATTCTGCGTGTTTTGTGCCCCGCAGGTCAGATAACGCTGTCAGAGTTCATGGAGGGGGCTCAGAAGGACGAGTGGCTGATGAACCTGCTGAAGTTAGACGTAGATGCCAAAGGTTGGGTCATCCAGAACTGCGGGAAGACGTCCTGATTCCTCACGTGTGGGTTCTCCGCCCACAATATATGATATGAGGCTGTCACAGCTGCTGTCTGGGGTTTCGTCTCCGTGTCGAGCTTCTCGAGACTTTTGAAGCTGCACGGATGCAGGTTTGCAGAGGTTTTAAACTCCGGTGCAGAGGTCCGAGTCCTCTCTGCAAACATGTGCTGTGTCCTGATGTTAAGCTAATGTGGCTAACACAGAGCTAACACAGAGAACGCCGGCTGGGAAATGCAGAACAGTCAATTGTTGTGTATTTATATTCCTGTTTATTATGTGTTTGTATATTATTTTTGATAGTGTAGTTGTCTCAGCAGAGGGGTGGGTAACTACATTAACTAACATACTGTATATAAGTATAATTTTGAGGTAGTTTGCTTAAGTATTTCGAGTTTAAGCTATTGCATACTTACACTCCACTACATTTTTGAAGCCAATGTTGTACTTTTTAATTCCTCTATGTTTATCTCGCAGCTTTGAACAGATTCAGATTACTAGCTAATACAAAATATAAATCAACTAATAAATCAACATTGACATATCAATCAGAAATCCATCAAAGTGAACATATACGGTGCAGATAAAAGGTCATACTAACATATTAGTAAAAATATAACATATTAAATAAAGGCAAACACATAAACAAATCATCAAATAAGTTCAAAATCTAAGGACATGTTAAAATAGTTAAATTATCATAATCTGCTCCACCTTTACCAGCGTGATGACAACATTAATCCATCAATAATTATAACCCTGTTATTTCATATATATGATCCTGAAATGGGAAAACATGCATACTTTTAAGTATATTGTAATGCCAATAATTGTGTACTTTTACTTAAGTAGGATTTTAAATGCAGGATTTTTACTTGTAACAAAGTACTTTACAATTTACTTCAGGTAACATGTGAGCACTTCTTCTACCTCTGGTTTAAATAGCTTAATATTTAACAACCTTAAAACACTATTACATTGCTTGTTTGACTCAATTCTGGTAGTTAAAATAATCAGGCTTTCAATAACTAAAATAGTATTAATGACCAACGTTGTTTTTTTGGTTACTTGTTCTGGCAGCAGAACAAACAAACATCTTGATCTCATTTCATTTATTTGTTAGTAACTTCAAAGGTTCCTTGTGGTGTTTTTGCATGCATGTGGAGAACATACAACATTTCCATTTATCTACAGGTGGTTATAACATGCAAACATGCAGCCGTTAGCCAGCAAAGGCAAATAAAGATTTCTGCATTGTCGCTGCAAGTATGCTCACACAATTAAGAGACCTTTTCAGGTGAAAGTGATACTTCATGCTGTATCTGTTTCAGATGTGCATTTATTTTGTTATTAAATAACTTTTATCCAAGCCTCATGCTGTATTTTCTCTTATATTGCTTCTCCACAGTTCACACTTGTTTCCTTAGAACACTTGGTGTCGTCCGGATCAGAACAGCCAGCAGCGAGGCGCTTTAAACGCAATCCTCAGAGGATTAAAAAGTTAATCTTGGCTGCAGGTCCGTTTGTCTGCAGGGGCCGAGGGATCATAAGTGGAGAAGACCACGCTGTGAACATAAAGTGATCAAATTGAAAAACAAGGGTTGATTGAAAGGCTTGGCCAAGGAAAACAAAAATCAGCAATACAACAAATACAAGTATGCAGACACATTGTATTCAACCATGTATTCAACAGAACTCTCATATAGATATTGTTACATTCTCAGGCACTTAGGATGTTGGACCCAATTGCAGACAGGGAGACAGAGGTAAAGTATTGGTAAGATACTTTATTTTTCCAAAAAACACAATGAACAAAAAAAAGTCACTAACTAATCTCAGGATGAGATGACAAAAAATGAGACCAAAAGGAAAATCGCTCACGTAGTGAGGAACAAAACTATTCTTGAGCACAAAAGAGCATAGACCTGACCATGGCAAGAGACAATACGAACTGACACTGAACAATGGGAGACAGGGGAATTTAAACACAGGGTAACTAGACACAGGTGGGAACAATTAGGGGCGGGGCTGACACTGATGAGCACAGGAGACACACAAGGAGTGACAGGTGAAAACAATCAGGAAATTAGACACACCAGGGAAACTAACGACAGACATGAAAACACAGGGAAAAGAGACCAGACAATATACAGGGAGGAATACATGACAAGGAGAATGGAAAAACACCCACACCTAGACATAGAAACGGGACATGACAAAATAATCCTGACAGATATATATATGTACAGTATATAGACGGGTCATATAGATAATTGCTTGTAATGAAAACAAGTCTTGAATCAAAATGCAAAAAATAAGCAGGTGCCGACGAAAGATAAACATTGACGTCACAGCTGTTCCTGTCAGCCATGTTGTTTTTTTGCCGGATGCAGAAGCGCTAGAGTAGACTAACATGTTTATTTGCCACGGCTCACATTTTTATTTATTAATCCCTCTTCTACAGATGATATAATTGGAGAAAAAACGTGCACATAAACTGGCAACATGACTAGCAGGACTGTTCATGTGGAAATGGAGAATTGTAATCTTACCAACATTCAATTATATTCACTTTTTTTTATTTAGACTCTACATTTATCTTAGTATAAGGAGCATTGGGCAGCTTTTATTTATGCAACCCCAAGCCAATCTCTACGGACTGAGCAATTTTTCCCATACCGGGGATCGAACCTGGGTGAAAACCAGGAATCCTGCCACTACACTAATAATAAAAAGTTATTATGGCATTGTATGCTGTGTGTTATTTGTATCTTCAGAAACTACCTTTCCAAGTCCTCAACAGTTGCCTGTCTTTGACTGTTACAGGTTCATGGTACAATGCATGAGCTTCAAATCGAGAGAGATTTGGCCTCACACAGACACTGTATTTTTCTTTACCGTTCTGTTTTAATTTCACAATAAAGTTAATAATAATATTATGTTTGATATTATTATGTTTTATTAACTAGACCACCGGGTCACGTTAAGACCATCTTTTCTGTCCGTTTGTTGTCACAAATAAATAAAAACTGTTAATTGTGTGTTATTGTTGAGTAAATAACAGTGTGTTATTTAGAAAAGAATAACAAATTAGAAGGAACAAAATATTAAAAAATACAGATGTCAGTATTCTGAGGCTCTGAGCCATTTATTTTCCTCACGGACGGCAAAAAAGTTAGACATTATACGATTTAAAATAAAAACAATAATCGTGGCTTGATATTGAGTAAGATTATGTTTTTATGAACCACACAGCTTCCGGTCTTCCAAGACCCGACCGGACAAAAAGACGTGGTGCAGACACGAAACACACTACCAATAGAAATACATTGCTTTTAAAATCGTTCTGTGTGACACGAAAAAAAGGGGGAAATCGTGTTGGTGAACACGAATCAATAGATTACATTTCGTGACTATAACACGTGTTTAGAGTTTTGGTGGTCCTGATAATTTATTCCGGTAAATTATTCTGACCTACTAATTGACCTTTTCCGAAGTTATTGAGTCTATGTAAGTTTGCTGCTTGGCTCAGATCCACCAACGTCAGCAAGATCTCACCTCTACTAACTTCCCGAATAACCAAGGTTTCAATTAACTGCTGTTTCAATTCAGACAACTCTTTTTTAATCTGTTTAAGCGATCCCGAAGGATTTTGATATCAGTAAATGGAGTGTGCTCCTACCTAAGTGTGTGTGGCAGGGTGCAATCTTACCTTTGAAGCAGGAGAGGAGGGCACAGGTGTCTTTTAAATTATCCCAGTCCAAAAGGTGGGATCAGTTTATTTGAAGAAAAATAGGTCCAAACTAATACAGGGTTTTTACCTTCTCTCTTTACAACATTATAATCATACTAAAAACCTGGTGCTGTGATCATGTTCAAATGAAACTTTAATTCACAGTCTTACATTTATTACCAAAATGTTTTAATTCCAACTGCCCATTTCAGTTGTGACATTTTAAAATTCTCCCGATAGAATTTAGAGGTATTTCCTCGTAAAAAGACCGGTGACAATAAAAAGCGCATTCAACTTTTTCATTTTACCAACTTAATTCACATCAGTTTCATACCGTTTTTTCCGACACAGACGGCGGATTAACACTCAAAAACCCATTCCTGTCCGCAAAATTCGGGGGGGCAAGATTTCCCCACAGGTCGCGGTATTTATAATATTCATACACTTTTTCCGACACAGACGGCGGATTAACACTCAAAAACCCATACCTGTCCGCAAAATTTGGGGGGCAAGATTTCCCCACAGGTAGCGGTATTTATAATGTTCATACACACATCTCTCATCAAATCATTCCACTCAGCCAACAACCAATAAATTCGAGAGATATTTACCCCGTCTGGCAGAACCTTACCGAGAGCTAGTTACCCAGCTCTGAAGCACACAGCCTACCCGGAGAGAGTCTACCAGGGGTTACCCCCCCTCTCTCGCGCTCTCTCAAAAAACCAGTCTCTTTATGCTAAAAAAACTGGATCCTAAACCCAAGAAAACAAACTCCTCCTCTTCACCCAATTCAGTTGAAAACTGCGCATGCGCACTAATGTACAAGGCTAAACATGTCCCGACATGTTCCACAGCTGTTATGGGATAAGACACCCTTTCATATGAGGTAAAAAGGACATGAACTCTCTTTGGCCTCTAATGTTTCTCCCCTTAGTGTGAAGCCCCCCCCTCCCTGTGGACTGCTGCCAGAGGAGAGGAAGACAACTCAACCTAAACAAACCACTTTGTTTTGTTTATACTGTAACTATAGAAAACCTAAAATATGAAGCATTTTCATTGTGGGTTATACAAGAATATAATTGATTATATTTTATTATAACTAACTTTCGTTTTTAAGTATTAAACATACTATGAAAACTCACAACACACGAAATGTCGTGAGACTGGCTTGACTTATCATTAGGCAATTTTAAGCTACATATTGTTTTCCCGGGGGAACCCTAACCCTCTTTGGGGTCATATTGGATACATACTGTACAACCAACACCATCACCCCAAAGCAAAACCCTAACATTTGGCTATTGTCCATGTGAGGAGGCACAGAAGTTCAATAACACATAATGAACTTGAATCCTAGTATTATCTCCTGATTTTGCAATAGAAAGCATTCGTCACAATTATTGTACAACATTGGGACTTTTGCCAGACCCTAACTAAATGAATAAGGAGATGGCCTGAGTATGTGTGGGTCCCTACTGGAAGCGGACAACAAGATATCCTTTCTTTTTGCTTCAATTTTTCTTCCAAAAAAGAGTAACCCCAAACTCTTTAAATGTTTTTAAATTGCACTATAATAATCGCAAGGAACGTTGATCAGAGGATCAAATATATCTGCATATTTTTAATATATACTTTAATACTTTTTTTTAATTTGTTATGACTTTTAATTATGCAGCATTATATTTAAAAGCAGATTCTTAAAAAAACAATTCAGTGTAGATCCAGTACAAGTGGATTGTTTTGTCTCTAACTCGACAATTTAAAATACACCAAAACATTCAGATATTTAAGCAATAGCTCACGACAGGCCGTGGTCTTCGCGTGGGGCCGAACAACGCTCCTTAGCTGTGATATAATGAGCATATATCACGGCCTGAAGTGAGCTATTGCTTTTATAAAACGGTTACCAAGTGTGGCAATATATAAGAAAAATACACACTCCAATTTAAATAGTATTTATTAGTAAATAATTATGTTCAAAATAAAATAGTCTCTCCGTTGCCTTATGCACCAAACAATAAATAAATAATAAAATATTCTAAAATAAGCGGTTTTTTCTCTTCTTAATACACATTAATTCATTACT